ACTTTAAATTTATATTATTTCTTTTATAAAAATCTATTTAAAAATATATAAAATTTATTTTTGTGATTAATTAAATCTAATAAATAATATAAAAAAATATAATTACTTTTATATATTTTTGTTTATATTTTTTTTTAAAATTAATAATAGATGTGTTGTTCATATATTTAGTTAAAAATATTTATTGCGAATTTTTATTGAAATTTTTTGTACTAGTAATAAAATTTATATAATAATATATGAGTTTGCTTATATTTAAACAAATATTCATATGATATTTATTTAATATTAATACTTAAAATAACAAAAAATGGTTTTAATTTATTAATTATATATAAATTGTTCCTAATTTTTTAACTATATATATCAAAAAATTTATGTTTTCTATTATTATTTTTTAATTTATAACCGTTTATATACAGTCAAATTTTCAAGATTATATTAATTTAATTTCTTTTTATATACATATATATATAATAAATTAAAATCTTCAATATTTATTATATATATCCTAGTTATAATTCATTGAAGAAAATAATATAATCGTTCTTAAATGAAATAATATTATATTATATTAAAGGAACTAAAAATAAAATTATAGAGTATCTTTAATAAATAAATTTATATAAATAAAACTTTAAAATATTAAATTTAAATATGAATTTATAACTAACTAGCTTTAATTATGTTAAAAAGGATAAAAATATTTTTTTACTCTTTATATAAATTAATATAATTATTATAATAAATTATTTAAAATAAAAATATATATCGAATTTTTAAGATAATTTTTAATATTTAAATGGCATTTTAAAAAATTAACTAAAAAAATAAATCATACTTAAAAAAATTTCATTTTCTTAAAAAGATTTAAAATAAATGGAAAAAAAAAATAAAAAAAAAAATATAATATATACTGCTAAATTAAAATAAAAAATAATAATTTTTAAAAATAAAGAAAAAAAGAAAATAAAAAAAAATATAAAATAATAAAATAAATAAAAATGTAACAAATACTATTTCCAATATTACTTAATCAACCTAACATAGAATAATTCTAAAAAGACATGTAAAAAAAGAATTTTAATTAGGGTCCAAACCTTAGAATGCTAACTAATTCTCCTTTCTTGCCTAAATCTATGCTATAATAATACTAAACTTTATAATACTTATAAAATCCTTTAAATTAGAATAATTAACCTTAGGATTAATATACGTAAATAAATAATGATAATAACAAAGTTCTTATAGATAAAATAAACAATGATAATACTAGCTATTTTAATTAAAGCAGTATAATTATAAGTTAAAATAATTTAGAAAATAAGAGAGCCGGATATAAAATAATAGATTAGAGAAATGCTTTGACAAATTTTGAATATCAAGATTTTTATGAGAATTTTAATTTTAAAAGAATGCAATACTAAACATGTATTTAAATCTAGAACTAAGAGCCCTTAAAAAGTAGGTTACGTATAAAATAAACAAAGGCTTAAAAAAAATCATAAAAATTATGTAATGTAAAACACCAGAAATTAAAAGTAATGAAATATTCTAAATTTAATAAAAAAATCAACTAAAACCTAACTAAAAACATTCTTAAAGCCTTTTAAAAATATGTAAATACTTTAGATATATAAGATTAATATATAGGAATATCATTAAATAGAATGTTTTAAAGAAATACTTTTTCTAATCTTTTTTTAATTAAACTTTACCATAATTAACGCTATAATCAACTCTTTAAAGATTTTATTTACAAGTTTTCTCAAGAATGGCTTTCTTCAAGTAAAGTTTAGGATGTGTAGAGCCATGCAGAATTTATTGAAAAAATTAAAAATGGAGATTTTAGCAAAATAATAATTAAGAAAAAAAACATTAAAAAAATTTGTTTGAAACACTTAATAAAAAATAAAAGAAACATAAAATGAAAAATAAGAAACTGAAGAAACTTCAAAAGATATTTAGCAAATATAGGAACTTACTAATTAATAAGAAAATGTTTTCTAGTAAGAATAGGAATAAGTTAGCGAAATTATTGATTAGAAAGAATAGTTAGATTAAACTAACTGAATTTTTTCTTAAAAATCTAAAAAATTATTCAATAATATTTTATTTTAATAAAATATAAATGTAAAAATAAGAATTTAAAATATTTTAAAAATTAATATTTATTTATTTATCAAAATGGTAAATTTAAATTATATTAATTTTATATTATTTTATATTTTTTTATTTAAAAAAAAAAAAAATGCATTATTCTATTATAAAATAAAAAATATTTAGATGATATAAATTTAATAATATTTAAATTAAATTCTAAAATAAATTTTTACATAATATTAAATAATTATTAATATTAAATAAATTATTATATCTTTTTTTTATTTATTTAATAAATATATAATATATAAATAAAAAAAAAATTAAATATTATTACATATTATATTATAATTAATGAAAATATATTAAAAATAATAATAATAAATATTTAATTTAAAAAAATAAAAAATTAACCAGTAACTCAACTTAGAAAAATAAACAATGGAGAATCAATAAAAATATAATTAATATTATATATTTTAGGTAATTTATTGTAAATATAATAAATAAATATAAATATATATATATATATATATATATATATTTTTTTTTTATTAATGTATAAAATATATTAAAATAAAAAATTAATATATTAAAATATTTAAAAAATAATTTTATTTTTAAATTTAGAATGTTATAAAAACAATATGTATTAGTTTGTAATATATATACTAAAAAAATTATAATAAATATATATAAATGTAAATATTTTTTTATTTTATATTTTTACTTTATAATAATAAATAAAAAAAACTAATTATATATAAAATTATACTATATTTTTATATAATTATTATTTTTTATAATTAATTATTATATAATAAAAATCTAAAATTCTTATATTTTTATTTATTTTAAAAATATTATTATATCATTCTTTTTATTATTTTGTCTAAACATAAAAACAGGTTTTATAAACTATATACATATTTGGTTTTTAATTTAATAAATATTTTTTCTTATTTAAATTTAGGTTTTAATTTATCATAATATAATTTAAATATAATTATTATAAGTTATTTAACATATTATTAATGTTATTTCAATAAAATTTAATTTTTCTATTTAAAATAAATAGTTTAATTAATCCAAATTCTGTTTATATACATATATAGATAATTCTTATACTACATATAATCGCAAATATTTACTTTAATAAATTAATAATTTAGTTAAATATTATAAACTAGGATATATTAAAATAAAAATTAATTTTTATGAATTGAATACAGTAATAATTAAAATAACTAAAATAGTGGAAAAAAAATAAGAAATTATACTTAAAATTTATTTTGTTTATTGAATATTTTATATTTATATCAGGATGTTAAAATATTTTTACCTTATAAAATATTGCTTTTTATATTTATTAATATAAAAAATTATGTTAAAAAAAAGATTATAAGATTTGTTTAAAAAACTTATAAAAATATTTAATAAAATATTAATCGTATTATGGATAAATTTATATTTTGAGTTAATATATAAAAAATTTGATTATAAAAAAATATTAAAGATATATATTTAATAATAATATTAATATTATTTCATTATTTAATTATATTTATTTAAATATATAATAAAAGTCTTGTTTATTTTTTTTTTTTAAAAAAAAAAGATATTGTATATAAATATAAATATATTAATTAATATGTTTTTGATTATAATACTTATATTTTTATATTTTATTTTGTACAAATTTATATTATTATATTATATTAAATTTAATATATTTATGTTTATATAAAGGAAAATATAATAATACAAAGAAAATAAGAAGAAAAAATATTAATATTAATATTAATATGTAAACATTACTTTATACTTTAATAATTATATTAATTACAATAAAGAAAATTTTTTTTATTTAAATTATATATGTATAATTAGGAAATTATAATAATATAAAAATTATATATGGAAAAAAAAGATATAATTATATTTAATTATATGTATAAATTAATATATATATATATATATATATATAATATTTATTATTAATTAATTTTACATTAAAATATTTTTTTAATTATATTTTATAAAAATTTACATATTTTATTTATTTTTTTAAATTATATTTTTTATATAAATAAAAAAAACTTATATCATCAAATATTAATTTACTAATTGTCAATTATTTTTTATTCATTTTTTTATTAATATTTTATGTCATTTTTATAAAATAGTTTTCATTTTTTTTCTTTTATAATTAATATATATTAATTTATATATTTATTTAAAAAATTGAAAAACAAATTAAATGTAAATTATATTTTTTTTGTATCCAATATTTTCAGGTTTAAGTGGTTCTTTAGCTGGAAATTTCGGTTTTTTTTTTTTAAAAAACTTTTAAATACCAAATAAAAAAGGAAAATTAGCATTTACAGAAGATTACAAAATCCCATTTTTCGAAAACGATTATTATATAAATATAATTGCAAGAATACTTTGTTTTGGTCTAATGTTCTTTTTTAATTTCTTAATGATGAAATTTTTATTAAATTCCTATTAATTAATTGGTTCTACTTTAACAGTTTTAGTTTCATTTATATTTAACTAAGCTACTAATGTATTATTTTTGTTAATTATATATAAAATATTTAATAAACAAACAAAAAGGCGTTTTTGGGTTCTTTTTTCCATAAAGAACAACTGTCTTATTAATGGGTACTTGGAATGACTTTTATATTAATTGGGACTTTTTTACTTAGTGATAAAAATAAAGACTAAAAGGAAAAAAATAATGATTTTATATATTTTTCATGTTTTTTTAAAAAATAAAAAATTAAAATTATTAAATATATAAAGTATTTTATTAAAAATAAAATAATGTATATATATGTAAATATATTTTTAAATTTAAACAAAAAAACTAAATCTTTTATAAAATTAAAAAAATGGATAAATTAATAAATACTATTAAAAATAACTCAACATTAATTACTATTTCTGCTGCTTTATCAACTGCGGCTATAATGTTATACTTAAATATAAAATCAGATGAAGAAGTAAAACACTAACCTAAACAAAGCCCAAAAAAAAGTCCATACAAAGCAAAACATTCATAAAACATCCTAGACAAGGCCTTATTAGATAAAATAACCGCAGAAATATAATCTAAGAATCTTGATTTCGATTCTTTTGAGTTCATAGAAGTAATATAGGAATAATCTAGAATATTAATAAAAGATTAATTTATAAAATTGACAACCGAAAATCGTGAAAAAAGAAGATTTGAATTAAAAAATAATTAATATAACAAATACTTTGATATAGTATCTCTATATAACGAATAAATAGATTTATTGTTAGAAGAAGCATAATAAGACCTAATATTAAAGTTAGGTTTATAAAAAGAAGAATATGAAAAAAACATTAATAAACTAATAGATATGGGTTTATATTAATAATTATTTATATTAGAGTCTTCTACAAAATAAAAACTAAAAGAATTTATAAACAAAGAATAAGATTTAGAATTGGATAAAATGAAGGAAATATTAGAATTTTAAATAAATATTTTAAACTAAAAAAATGAACTTTTATAATTTATTTAAAATAAAATTAATTAATAAGAAGAAAAAATTAAAATTTTACCAAATTTAATTCAAGATGCTTTATATGATTATGTATTTGATAAATTCAAGGTTGAAGAAGAATAGATTGTTAGAAAAATGAATTAACCAGAAGTTAAATATGATCCTGATATGCTTATTTTAATTTCTGAATTGGAATAGGAAATTAATAAAATTATGATGAATTTAGAAATAAAAATGTGAATTTTCTATAATAATAAAAAAATAAAAATTGTTATTTTTAAATATATAAACATATGTATGTTTTTTTTTTATTTAAAAAAAAAAAAATAGTTATTATTTATTTATTATTATTATAAAAATAAATAACATAAATGGGTAACTTATTTGGTTCAAGAAGTTATTTTGATGAAATCGTATTTCTTTCAAATACTAATGTAACAATGAATGATCTAATAATAATAAAGCGAGAAACCGATTGTTAAAAAAAAAAAAAAAATAACAATTAAAAAAAAAAGTTTCTGAAAAAGAAATACTCAGTCTTTATTTTAGATTTTATCAATTAGATGAAAAAGAAATCAATAAAATTTCAATAAATTAATTCCTTTAACTAGCCGAATTATATAATTCTCCATACAAATCACGATTAATAGATTCTTTAGAGCTTATTAAAGATTTACAAAAGGTAAAAAAATTGATGAAGATCAATAATTGAACCAAATATAATAATAAAGAAAAAAATACAAAAACATTAATGATCTTCCAAAAATAAATCTAAAAAATTTTAATTAAATAAATACAGCAAAAAAAAATCTATATAAAATAATTCCATTATAAACAACAAATACATATAAAGTTGAAAGTGATAAAAATTAAAAATACAATTTTTAATAATTAAATACTCCTTTTATAGATTTTAAACTATTTTGTAAAAAATTAAATATTTTCGCACCTAATGCCTAAACAGCAATAAAATCAAAATGTATTTTTTGAATTTATTTAATAATTAATTGTTAATATATATATTATATATTTTGTAGATATATATAAATATATATATATATATATATATATATATATATATATATATATGTTTTTTTATAATTATTTATAAGTTCTTTTTAAAATATTTGATATTGATTAGGATGGTTAACTTAATAAAGAAGATTTAATTATAGGTATAGGTCTTTTATTTACTGATCCACATACAAACTATAGATTATTGAATATGAATGAAATTTAAATAGTAGTTGATTAAATATTTTTAGAAACAGATACTAATCATGAAGAAAATCTTAAATTTGAAGATTTTTAGCTTTATTTATGGGAAACTGACTTTGAGAAAAATTGTACTATTTATTTTTGAAAACTATTATTATATATTTTAAAAAAAAAATGTATATTATTCTATTATTTTTAGTAAAAAAAATTTTTAAAATAATGAATTAATTTTATTTTTAATAAATTATATTCTTTAATGCATATATATATATATAATTTTTAATAATTTTTAAAATTTAAATAAATAATAAATAAAAATTGATATTATAGTTTATTTTATTGTTTATTTAATATAAAATGATAAAAATTAAAATTATATTTAATAAAAAAATAAATAATATATAATATATATATTTTAGAATATATAAAGAAATTTTTATATAAAATTAATATATTAAAAAATAAATGTTATATGAAAATTAATATAAGATTTTTATTAATATTTAATAATAATGATATGTATATAAAAATAAATATATATATATACATATTTATAGAAAAATATAAAAATTTAAATATATAAATATTTTTATATTTTAATATTTAGAAAAAAAAATATATATTTATATTTATATATATATTTATTTTTATATATAAATATAAATTAATATATTATTTATTTTGATGTATTTTATTTTTCTATATTTTTATATAAAATTTAACAATTAAAATTTATTAATATATATAATATTATATTTAACAAAATTATTATACTATAAATATAAAATAAATTTTTAATTTTTTTTTTATAAAAATTTTCAGAATTTTTAATTATTTTTTTAAATATTTTAATTTTTTTTTATCCTATTTGAATATATATATTTTTATTTTTAAATAATATTTTATAAAATTATACTCAATTTCAATTTAATTTTTATTTTATTTAAATTTTTTAATTATTTTTTAATTTTTAATTAATATATTTTATTTTTTATAATAATTTTTATTTTTATGTATTTTAAAATAAATGCCATAAAACTCAAATGGTATTATTTATTAAAATCATTTTAACTTTATTAAAATTTTAATTATTATAAATTTTTAAAATTTAAAAAGAATTTTTTTTAATACAAATTCATATTATATATTATTTACACTTTTTTTTTCTCAAGATATAGAGCATTATATTTTATATTCTAATTTAAAAAATAATATTTAAATCAATTTACAAAGTGATTTAAATTAATAAATAAATTAATAAAAGTAAAGTAATTTTTTTTTTATAAAAAAAATAGCCTTTTTACTTTAATAAAATTCAAATCAATTATTTCGGATTTTAAAAGTTAATCAATTATATATTAATATTAAATTCATTATATTTTTTATGTTTTAAAATTATTTCAATCTTAAATTCAACTTTAAATATTTTAAAAGTTATAATTAAGATAAATATCTAAAAATAGATAATTTTCTTTTCCTTAACTTTTAAAATTTATATATTTTTTTTTATTTTCTAATTACTAATACTTTTTTTTCTAAATTGTTATGACTATTATTATATAATTGTTTAAATTTTTTGTCTAGTTTTTTTGTTTAAAAAATAAAAATAAAATTAAAATTTTATGTTAGATATTTATGAGATAAAAATATACTTTAATGATATTTTTTTCTTAATTTATTCCTTGATAAATTTTAATAATTATGTATGTATTTTTGCATCCTAGAACGCGAAGAGGCATTGAAGCCAATCCACCTCCAGACCTTTGATAAGTCCAGTCCGTTACACAGTAAAGTATATAAAAAAAGTAAAAATAAATATAATATATGTCTTATGATAATAAAATTATTTTAATATATTTCTATACACACACTTATAAAACTTTTAAATAAAAGTTTCAGACCCGAGAGAAAAAATATTTATCTATTCTAAATCCACAATAGAACTACAGAAAAGGCCATCGATTGTATCTAGAAAATCTAATAATTTTAAGAATTTGCACCATTGGGGGTCGTCAGAGGAAAAAGAAAAGACCTTCGCGCGATAGGCACATCGGTCTTAGACAGATGGAAGGATAGTGAACATAGTATGACTTTACAGGATGTCTTTGGAGCGCCTATACTATTAGCCTCTTTAAAGCATGTAGTGTACTACACACATTACAGTGTAATATCCATAGTTTTGTCATCTGGAAATTGTAAATCATGAAGGAGATGAGACCATTCAAACAACTTCATTAACCTTAGATAATACGTCTAAGCGTTAGGATCCACCAAAGTTGAGCTCTCCGTTGGGCTTTACATTGTAAATTGCCATAGATGACTCTTTCGAAATCCTAGATTATATCAAGGAACTCATCAAGTATAGGAAGGGACACGATATGACAGGGATTGGGATTAGCCTAAAACACAATTATTTTTTATTTTATTTTTATTATAATAATTATTTTATATATAAATATTATTTTTATAAGTTTATAAAAATTATATATTTTTAATTAAAAGTGTTTATTTTATGAAATATTTAGAATTTTATTAATATTAATTTATTAAATATTTTTTTCAAAAAAAAAGAATCATTATAAAACTTGATAAAATAAACTTAATAATATATTAAAGATTTTCATAACAAAATCAATTTATGTATATAAATAATATCTAAAATTAAAATAAATAAATATATATTTAAAAATTAAATCTAAATTAAAATACACATTTAAAAGAACATAAATTTAATTATTTATTAAAAATAAGAAACATTTAGAAAAAAAAAGAAATAAAAAAAAAAAAAAATGATCGGAGATTTACCATGCCCATATAGAGTTGTAGATGATATAGGAGGAGCATATGCAATGGGTTGTGTAGCTGGATGTGTTATATATTTCTTAAAAGGTACTTTTTTTTTATAAAATAAATAAATAATTAAAATAAAATAAAAAGGAATGTATTATGCACCTTCTTCAGAACGTTTTAGTTAAGGATTTGATTTATTAAGAAAAAGAGCACCTATATTAGGAGGTTTAAATTAAAAAAATAAATAAAATACTCATACTAAAAAATATTAAAAAGGAAACTTCGCTATTTGGGGAGGATTATATACAAGTACAGAATGTATTTTAATATATATTAGATAAGTTGAAGATTTTTGGAATAGAATCGCAGGAGGATTTATTACAGGAGCAACATTAGCTGTAAAATATTAAAGTTATATATTTTTAATATTTTAAATAAAAAAAATAAAAAAGATTAGAGGTGGTTATAAAACTTCTTTATAATAAGGAATTTTCGGAGGGCTTTTTTTGGGAAGTTTTTCTCTAGTTGAAATCGCAATGATGAAAATGTAAAAAAAATAAGAATAAGAACATTGGTAATAAATGTATGAAGAATAGATTAAAATTTAAACTGAACATTTAAAATAAACTAGACCAGGCATATATTTTATTTATTTAATTTAATATTTTTTTATTTTTATTTTTAGATATTTATGCTGAAATAGAAAAATAAGAAAACAGAAGAAAAAGATAACAATTATAATAAGAATAATAATTATCATAATAAGCAAATTAGCTTTTTGAGAAATATTAATATAAATTTGTAGATTTTAGCAAATTATATAAGTAGAAAGAAGATTATTTAGACTTGCTTTTTGTTTTTTTTTAATTTATATATGAATATTTTGCTTGTTTTATAAGATTTTTTTTTTTTTAATTAAATTTTATTTATAATATTTTTAAGTTTTATATTTATTAAAACTAATAAATAATTAGTTTAAATGAAATATTTTAAAACCTTAAAATTGGTCTTATAATCATAAAATTAATATATATAAAGAATAATATAATTTCATATAAAATATTTATATTTTACTATAATTCTTTTCTTTAATAAATACAAAATATAAAGGAAAAAGAAATATTATAAATAAACAATAAATAAAGATATCAATTTTAATAATATTATAAATAATTATATAATAAAAACTAATAATAATATTTATATAAAGTACTTTAAAAAACATATAAAATTTATATTTTCCAAAAAAAAAAAATATAACTCAATCAAAAAAGAAAAATAAAATAAAGCATATACACATACACATGAAATCTTCTTAAAATATTAACCAATAAGAAGAAGATAACGATGTTATTCTTGACCCTATTGAATTTAAAAACCTTGAGCATTAAATTGAGACAAAATTTCAAGTATATCCATACCGTTATATAATCTTAATAATATATATTTTATCAATGTTTCAAATATCCTTAATGCAAAATGCATTTGCTCCCCAAGCTTCTGAACTCTAAATAGTATATAAATAATCGGCTTTTACATATAATTTAACATCTCTTGTTCATATGTTTTTCCACATTCCTATATCTTTTCCAGCAAATTTTATAGTAGATAAATATGGTACAAAGGCAGGTAATACAATTGCCTGTATTTTGACTTTAACCGGTAGTTGGTTAAGATTATTGATAAATAAAAATTTTAATTATGCAATACTAGGTTAGGTGTTTGTAGGAATTGCCAATCCATTTATAGTTAATAGTATGAATAAAAGTAAAAAAATAAAAATATAAATATATAGATAATAGATATAGATATATAAATATATATAGATATAAAAATTTTTAAATATATATACATAAAATTATTTTTTTCCTAGTTTTTTTTACTTTTTTTATAACTAATTATTAAAAACTCAATCCTAAAAAAAAAAGATGAAAAAAAATGGAATAATTGGCCTTTTTTTATTTTATTTTTGATAGAGTTTTTTTTTAAAAAAAAAACATATAAAAATAATTCTAAAAGGATTATATAAGTATGTGCTTTTTTCTGTATTTTTTTAAAAAATCTGATTTAATAAAAAAGGCCTAATCCATATTTTTCTCATTAAATGAGTTTTAAAAAAATATAAATAAAATAAAATAATATAAAATATATATATATATATATATATATATATATATATATATATTATATAAGTTTCTAATAACTGGTTTTATCCTATTTAAAGGCCTATAATAACTGGAATTCTATCATTTTCAAGTATAATTACTGGTGTAATAGGTTTAGTAATTCCCGGTATATATTTTCAATCATATTAAGCTTTACAAGATAAAAAATACTCATATCAAACAGGTAAAAACCTAACATTTAAACTGCTTTTTTATTAAGCATTAATAGTATCTTTTATTGTTTTTTTGAATTTTTATTTTTTCTGTGATAAACCGAAAACTCCTCCTTCTTATTGTTCTTTCTAAAAAAGAGAGCCCTTTATAAAATCTTTAAAAATTCTTATAATAAACAAAACCTATATTTTTATTTCTATTGCTTTTTCCTCTGTATATGGCACTTTTATCGTTCTTTCGGTAATTTTGGACTAAATTTTAAACCCTTTTGGATTTTTCTCCTCTCATACAAGCTTAATAGGGGCTATTTTTGTCTTTTCGGGACTTTTAGGGACTGTTTATTTTCTTAATGAACTAAAGAACGAGAACAACTACCTTTATTTATTAAAAAAGTTGACTTTTTGTGGAATATTATCATTAGTAAGCTTTTAGAGTATTCTTTTTTCTCAAATATTTATCCTAGTGTGTCTTCCGACTTTCACTTTAGGTTTTTTTGTGATTCCGTTAATCCCTATTATTTTAGAATTAGCAAATGAGGTTTGTTTTCCTATTGGAGAAGCAGTAATTACTGGTTTTATATACAGTATTTCTCATATAATGGGCTTTTTATTAGGTATGGGGTTTTCAGTGATTATATAGAAATTTGAAGGGGAAAAAATAGGTAGTGTATTTTGCTGTTTAGGCTTTATTTTATTGTTTTTAATTGCCTTTATTTCGATTTTTTTTATTAAATAAACTCTCAAAAGAACTTAATTTGAAAAAAAGCCTATTTAGAGGAAAAGGCAAGTTAACTTTCAGGAAGTTTATTTTAAAGTGTATGAAAAATAAAATAACAATATATATAAATAATATACATATATAAATTATTACTTCTTTTTTTTTTTTTTTTTTTCTATAAATATTTTTATAAATTTTATTATAATATATTAAATATTTCAAGTTATTATGATATTTCTAGTTCTTTTATAATTTTTAGAACATCCTCGAAATTATATTTCGGGTTAATTATTTATTATATATATAAATAGGTAAAACTTCCCATTAATAATTAGCAATCTAATCTATCAGAAATTCCTATTTTTTCATTTAATTTTAAAGTTCTTTTAAATCCAGAAGCAAAAAATCCACCAAAAGGTACTATTATAGACGAAAAAAAACTTAAAATAAGCGAATGTATTTAAAAGACGGAAATTTATACATCATAAAGGACAAAATTCCTTTCAAAAATCTCATTTGTATTACATTTTTTAAAATCAAAAGGAATAAAAGACATCAATTCAAATTTGCAGGTTAATTAAGGATATTTTTATATAAAAATAGAAAAAAAAAATGCAAAAATTAAAGAAGATAAAAATCCTCCCAAAAATCCTTCTAAAGATTTATTTTAGAAAAATCTTCTTTTTCCAAATACCTTCCCAAAAATATAACCAAAAACATCATTTACAATGACTAACATGCAAGGTAAAATAAACCAAACTAATCCTTCAAATAAATTAGAAGTTATTACAGAAGCTTAAAGTACTACAATAAATATTGTTATATGTGTGTATGCAAAAATTCTAAATTAATATGAGTAAAATCCCTTGTTTATGTAATATATATGAATATTAAAATATTAAAATATTAAAATATTAAAATCTTATATAAATATATAAATATATATATATATATATATATATATATATATATTTATTTTTTTATATTTTTATTTATTTTTATATATATTTTTATTTATATTTTTTATTTTTTTATTTTACTTTTTGTAGCGAAAATACAAATAATAAAAAACCAATTAACCATAATGTCATTGAAATAATTTTATGATATTTCATTAATATATTTTCTGATTGAAGCATTTTTTGAAAAAAAATAATCCATAAAAATAATAAACTCCGGCTATAAAAAAATACCAATTTATGCTTTAAAACATTGGTATTTTTAATTCTTTTTCAAAATCTCTTTTTAAAGATATAATTTCACGAAAAATACCTGAAATTTTTTTATTTATCTTTTTATTTTTTATTTTTACAAAACATTATAATTAATGTTAAAATTGCGCAATATATAGGCCCTAATGCAATAAAACCAGTAAAAAAGGAAAACATTATCGAAATCCATATTATTCTTTCAAATAAACTTTTTATTTTAATTTATTTATTTTTAAATATCCTTTTTGTTTTTTTATTTTACTTGCTTTAACCTATTTATATTAACATGTTTCTTTTTATTTAATTTTCAGGCAGTTTTTTTAACTTTTTATTGTTTAATTAATTGATTATTTTTATTAATATTTACTTATTATTAAGGGTTTTCTAATTAATTTTATATTGCTTTTTCTTTAATTTTATTATCTGCTTCGTTTTCAGTATCATAAATTTTACGAAAATAGAATTTACTTTTCATTTGTTTTTTATAAATTATTAAAATTATATATTATGTTAATATTTATTTTATATTAAATATATATAATTTAAATAAAGTATTTTGCAAACAATTTTTTTTTTTTTTAATTTTTATTTTTTTTTTAAAAAAAAAAAAATACAAATATATCTATATAATAAAAAAAACAATAAATTTAAAATAAAAAAAAACTAAATAAAATAAGAAAAATTGTTATACATTTTTTATATTTATTAATTTTTAAATAAACATAATCAAATTAAAAAAAAACAGTAAAAAAAAAATTAATTTTAAATAAATAAATAAAAGAAAATGAAAACAAGTAATATTTAATAATAATAAATATATTTTTTCCTTTAAATTAATCAAAATAAAATTATAATTAAATTAAAAATAAAGAAAATAAGATTTATAAAAATTCAACACTTTATATAAAGAAAATGTTTGAATAAATAAAAAAAACCAAATAATTATTAATAAAAAACTTTCATTTAAAAACATATGAATTACAGTTTAAAGTAAAACTTAAAAAATATTATAAAATAAATTAATTTTTCTATTCAATTTTATTTTATTTTAAATATATATAGATTCTTGAAAATAATTTATTTTATATGTTTTAGTATATCAATTACTAAGTACACTATTTTTTATTTAAAGAAACTTATAACTATATAATTCAAATATAGGTAGCTATAAACCTATATAGAACAGGAACCATCATAGTTCAATTAAAACTGAAATTGTGCTCTCTATTCATAGAATACTTATCTCTATTATATTTTTAATTGAAAAAAGATTCCCATATTAATTATGTGTTTTATCCGAGAATAGGAAGGTTTGAATAATATATATGGTTTGAAATATGATTCCGAAGAATAGGAAATAAACTTTTCCAAATTTATAAAGAAGATTCTTTTTTATTTTCCTCCATTTTAAGTGAAATTAACATGTTATACTATTTTTTTAAGTAAATACTTTATAATTATATCTTAACTTAGAATATAAAAATAAGTTTGTTTATATGAATACTAAAATCTTTTGTAACGTTATTATTAGAATTAATTTTAAACTTAATATAATATTTACAACTATATAGCTAAACAATAGAATTTATTATTCGTTAATTTAATTTTTTGTTTTCATAATTTGTACATAATTGCTAATTTAATAATTTTATTAAAAAGAAAATTTAATTACAATTGTTTTATATTTTATTTATCTCTAAAAATATTAGTTTTCAAAGATTAAATAAAAGAAAACTTATTGAATATTAAAATTGTAATATATATTTAATTATAAATAATAATAATTATTTTAGGAAACATTATTTATTGTTAAATCATTTAATATTAGTATTAATTATTTTTTTATAATATAATATTTGTGTTTTTAAGATAAATTACATAAATTAAATATATATTAATAAATCTATATTAAATGAGAAATAGTGAATTTATTTAAACACATATTAAATATTAAAATATTTATTATTTGTTAAAAACAAATACATTTAAATAAAAATATAAAAAAAGTTTATAATTAAAAAATTAATAATGTAATATAGAAAAATAAG